GATCATGAGGACTCTGGCCTGACAATAAATAAACTAGCCTCTTCATTTACTTGTACTTGATGGATCTAGTGGAAAGAAAGAAGGGAGGTGATGCTTGGTCAAAGACAGCGGGTCGCTGGGGCGTGTCGTCGGCAGCTGCATCTCGTCCTGGTCCCTTCCTTTATACCTCTTGGCCTATCATCTAGCTGCCACGATGTGAGCAGCTCTTCGCTACCACACCCTTTATGCATACACTGCCACAATATGCTCCTGCCCATGGGGACACAAGCTAGCAAAACAACTACTGTTTTGAGTAGGAAAGACAGATATCAAGAAGTCGGGTGTGACAAAACTGAACATGCACATCTCTGTGGGCGCGTGTCCCCAGGGAGTGACAGCTCCCAGGGGGTCTGTGGTTGGTTCCCTCGTTATACTCCGTGGAGTTGCTTCTCTTCTTCCATTGTTATGCGGGTTCAGAGGACTGAACACGGTTTGCTAGGCTTGTTCTGCAGCCACCTTTACCTGAGCCATCCCATCAGCCTTATTCCACTCTTGCAAAAAAAAAAAAAATAATTCTCTCCTATGAAAGGAAGAATCTATAAAGTTTTAAAAGGAAAATGAGGAATAATGGTCAGAAATTATTGCATGTGTCTCATTTGCACAGCCATTGATCCCACAAAGCAGGGAGATTGTTGCTGAGTTTGTATACAGATTAGAAAGTAAAGGCTTAGAAAGGCAAAAGGAGTTGTTGAGGATCACTTAGGAGGAACTAGCCAAGCTGGCTTGGCTTGTCCTACTCTATGACCCCAGGCCTTCTTTATTAACTCATCCCTCACAAAAGGATGGAAGCCTGGACAACTATCTGTCTGCTTTGCAACAAATCCAGCCACTCTATCCATGAGTAGCTTCTGCTGCTGCATGTCCCAGACCCATCTTAGGTGAAAAGAAAGGGAAGAGACATCTCTGAGAAGAGCAGGACAGCTGTAAAAGCACAAGTTTATTATGCTTTTACATGATGGCTTGTTAAGACTAAGGGCATAAAAGACAAGTTACATAACAGGAAATCCAAGTTTCATTCTACTACATTGCTCTTTGGGATGGTGGAGATTAAGAATAAGCTTATCTCACCAGCACAGAACCTTCGGTGGCCTATAGCTTTGAGTAGCAGGGTGACAATCGAGAGAATAAGACTAAGTTGCTTCCAGGAGGTGAAACTCTAGAGGGATTGCCCCAGAACCCTGTCCTCGTTTTCCTCCCTCCTCTCTCTATAAGCAAGTGTGTTCCCAGAAGATCATTTCAGAGCCCACATGTGGTGACATGCTGAAGCAGCTGGCACAGATGTGTGGGAGACCCTTCCCAACCTGGAAATAGGCCCCAGAGAGAGGATGATCATATTATTATCTTTACACTGAATATGTTAGTTTTTACCTCTTCATTCATATGCCGGTCTACTAAAATCAGAGCTAGCTTGGAATAGAGATGGACACCTGTTGTGTCAGCACCCAAGAGGCTGAGGCAGGAGGATTAAGAGACCTAAGCCAGTCTGGGTTACACAGAACTTAAATGTTTTAATGAGAGATGGAGACAAGTGTGGAAATTTAGTAGTTGGAATAGATTCGTATTTCAATCTTCTGACTCACCAAATAGATGTAGTTTCCCAGCAGTTTGCATGTGGGGCTCCCCAAGCCTCGTCCCACACCCATGCAGCTCAGCCTGTCCCGACTGGCTGGCTGAATTGACTCTATTCTGACAGTCTGTGTTCTTTTCTCTCATTTTATTCCCTATGGCAAGTCATGTTGTGCAACTTCAGCTAGAAACTGCATCTCCCAAATATCTTTCTGGCCATGATCCCAATTTAAAGGATCACATACAGGATGCTCCCAAGATTCAGAAGGACAAAAGAAAACAGTGGCCATCATTCTGCAACTTAGCAGTGAGTTGATACTGCACTGGAGAGAAAGAGGAGCCAATGGGCTCCAGCTGAGCAGCACACTTCTGCTCCGCATCCATCTAGTCTTCCTGACAGCTGGCACTGTAGAGCACCGGTGGTCCTGGGTTTGCCATAAAATGTACAAGCACAGACCACAAAACACCAGCTATCCAGAGGCGACTGCTCACCACTGTCTTTACCGGCTCGTGTTCCAGCCCCACTTCAGTGCTTGTGAGTTCCTGCACAATCCTGCTTCCTCAAACAAAGCATCATTCGACAGCTTAGTGGTGTTTCTCTGTGGTTCTCATTACCTTCCCTAGCATTCATCTCAATTCTTGTGGAGATGCTGCCTCTCTTACATAACTGATATGTCTCCTTGACTTAAAAGGCACAGTCTCCACTATAGCCAAATGAGGCTGTTTTCTCCCTCTGTGCTCTCGAAGATTCCTGGGTCTGGATTTTCATAGCATCCATGGCCCTTGAGTCCTGGTAAGTGGCTCTTCCTCCCCATTAGGGGAGCAGCCCCTCGAAAATGGAACTTGTTTCACTCACCTCTGAAACACAAGCACTCAGAGAAGCTACAGGCAAATATTAGGGTTAAATAAATGTTTATTAACCTTAATGTGTTTGGGTACAGAGCCATGTATCCATGGAAGTCACCAACTTTCTGAGATAATGGCTACTCTATCCAACCCAGAGGGGTCTTCCAAAGAGAAGAATTGGAAGATACATGGTATGACATTTCATTTCTGCTTCTATTTCAGGCATAGGAAGTGTATACCAGAATGTTCTGGAAAACACTTTAGTAATATTCTTGGACATGATTTTAAACTATAAAATTCCTTAACATAAGGAATGATTTTGACCTTGTTAGAGGCTTCTACCAGCCCCTTAATTTTCCTTTACTTGGCCTTCTTGTAGAAAATGTTGACTTGTTAGAAGGCCTCAGGCCCCAGTTCTTTGTATTGTCACAGACTGTATGTTATTTTGAGGTCCAATGGAAAGAATGATTATGTGATGAGTGACTGCCCCCCCCCCCCCCCCCC